CCTAATTGTGAATTTCCCTGACATTCCTATATTTTTCAATTTTTCGTGGCAACCCCGAATAAAAATATCGTTTTATGCATTTTCGATTAATTTCGAAGAGTTAATTGACAGTTAAAATATTAGGCGGAATTATAATGTACATCAATATAATAATACATATTAAATGCTTTGCAAAATATTTCGCTTATTTCGATATGGTTATTTTGTGTTTGTCTGTATGATTATGGATGTATAAATAATGAACCTATATTGTGATATATCTTTCATGTAGATTTTTGATTTATAAAATACCAGGAATAACATATATGATTTATTCGTGCTCAACGGCTTATTTTGGAAATTGCATTCATACGTTATATGTGTAACAGTGGCTGCTTCGTATTGAAACCAAACTATGGGATTACAATTTACTTGATTTCTGATCAACTCGATATTCTGTAAAACCAGATTATTCGAAATGCCTGCTAATCTCAACACGCGGTGATTATTTATGCAATCGTTACTATGACAACGATTTGTGAAACTGAAATATTGCCAAAATGTTCGAAAATATGAAACGTATCTACTTAAAGGAACGAATTATATTCAATTAAGCTCAATAAAAACAAAACTGCTTCTTCGGCTATTTGTATAATTCATTTTTTGAGAATGATTGATTTACTAATTATTAAAAAATTAGTTGATTTAAAAAAAAGTTGATTTATTAATATTAAATAATTAGATAGCAATCTATAAAATAAACTTTTTAATTAGTATTCTGCTTTTATAAAATTTTGATTTATTAGAAATGCACTCGATAAAAAACACTCCTGAATGATATTAAATACTCGAATTGATTAAAAAAAATAACAAAATCCAAGCTTTACATAGAATAATTATAGAGTGATGTTCAAAGAAGCATTTTATTGCCTGAAATCTGAGCTGTCAGACATCGCCGAGAAAACAGCTTGAACCGGTTTGAAAGCTAATATTCCAGATTTTAAAATCCCTCTTTGAGTTAACTATTTCATGTTACAAATTATAATGTTGTAAATTATATTTTATCATAGATTTTATCATTTTTTACATCTGGTTTCCAGAATTCTTTCGTGATAAAGTTTAAAAATCCTAATAATTAAATTTCCTCTGTCTTTTTGTTCTCTATTATACTTGAAGTAAATCGTGAAGGTAATTTTATCCGCAATCTCTCCTTGAAACTCCCACATTTTACATACTTTAAGACGCAGAAACTAAGAAGCAATATTCAAAGTCGGTTCTTATATTAAAGACTGTCTCAAGGTATGGTCTTAAAATGTCACCAAGTCAATCACGGAGCTATATTAGCGTTACTCAAGACGTTACTTAAGACGATCTTAAAACAAGAACGGACTTCTCTCTAAAACTTTTAGAGTGACTTTCATTGTGAACAGCGAAATATCACTTTCAGGCTAATATTACACTTGTCGTACAACAAATTTTTCAAGTATGTTAATTGGCTGCAAGACAGAAAGGTTCTCGGATCTCTCTATCCTACAGCTAATCAAGAGACTTAAAAAATTTGTACAACAAAAACGGACTAATGTAACATTAGCCTTAAAGATAGAAAATGGAGCCACTCTTTCAAGCTCAATTTTTACTCCTTAGAGATTCCATGCAAAGAATTTAGAGAGTACGAATACCCATCTATTTAAGACTGTCTTAAATATAGTTTTAAGATGTCATGAACCAATCAGAGAACCGCATTAGCATCTTAATATTATTTGCAACGATCTCGTAATAAAAATCGGTCTAAGGGCGGTATTCATAGTTCGTTCTTATTTTAAGACCGTCTTGAGTAATATTTTAAGAGGCTAATATAGTCTAATTAACTTTGTACTCTCAAATATAAAACTCGACTATGAATACCAGTCTAAATCTGCAAAAAAAAAAAGTTTCCCACTCTCGTCGCTCTCGTTTCCTCGAGCAATCGCACCTCTGTGTATCGTACTACGTACTTTACTTCAAACAAAACCGAACGTATTTCGAGTCGCCTGTGACTCGCCCTCGCTACGCAGCAGGATATAAACAAACGTACATGTAACTCATACTCACCGCCTACGTCCGCGGGGGTCCGTGTAGCACAGAAATCCGGCTGCGCGCCCGGGGCTGCGACGCGAAAGCTCCCGCTACCACCTTCACGTCGTACGGCCGAGTCCGTCTTCGCGCGCAACACACAATTTATGATATTTTATTTCAATACTTTCAATATATATAAACACACTCAAAATCTCACCAACCACTCCTTCGGTCCTTTCCCCCTTTCGTCTCGCCGAGACTGCCAATCGCCGGACGCCAATGTCAACCGCCGTGCAACGGCGGAGCAACAGGAGACAGACGCAGCACACTCATTCAGATCGAACTGCAGTTTGGCCGAGCCAAGCCGACGTTAACACCGCACCGTCGAATCGAAACGGACGTTTGACGAAAATACGACGAGTGACGACGATTAATATCGAACACCGTGGCGCGCGCTGCCCACGCGACTCGATGCGGACGTGAAGCGGGCTTACCGATTTCGAACGAGTGCGCGAACACGCGATGTAAAAGCCGTCCGACTGACACAGTGGCTCGCGCAATTCTGCTGCCTACGACGCGCCGCGGGCCGCGGGCTGCCGCGCGTCGACCTTTAGAGGACGCTGCGTCGCGCGCAACTTCGCGCCGTACGCGGGCCGACGAATCAGCGCCAACCGTCGACTTTCGCGGGTCTCTTTCGCCGCGTTCACTCCTCAACGGGACACGTATCGTGGAAATTATTCGGAATGGATTCGCCACTCCGGAATTATTCAATCATTCCTTAGATTTCTATTGTATTTTCTACAGTAATATAATGATTCCGATCGAATTCATTTCGAATAATTTTATAATGCGCGCCTAAAAATAGCTTTAGCTTTTTGGTTTTGCAACTGTTGTAAGATTCTTTAATATGATTGATTTATACATTAATGGATACGTGAATTCTAAACAAAAAGATCATAACTTTGGCCTTGTAAAAACTTGTGACTGGAGTTGAAATTCTACGTGTACCGTAAAATATACGATCGTTCATAAATATTTACGATTTCTTGTAAATCTTGGTTAGCAGGGAACTGTCTCTAGAGATACTGCAAAGCATTTCAGTCATGAGTTATTGCAAGTCTTAAGAGAATAAATTATAAATCTTATGATTTTACTTAGAATTAATTGACTCATTAGATCTAGTGAAAAACTAAAGTCAAAAACCTAATCATATTAAAGAATCTTACAATTGCGAAGTCTGTTTTTTCTGCAGAATGCAAATTTCTCGAATTTTATTACAACTGTATATAATTTTTTATTTGATCATCAATGCATCTTACACTATTGTTGGCTGTACCGTTAATTTAAAACATAATTGTATAATCATGGTTGTGATACTTGTATTTATTTACATATGGAATAATAATGTACTGAAATCTACGATATTATTTGAGATAATAATCAATTTTTTATTTGATGATACACGTGTAATTACTTAACATATAACTAATTACACCAGCAAAAGCTAACTTCTGTTTTAATTAGACTCAGCCCTTCCTGTTTTAATTAAAAAGATATGAGAGATTGTGACGTAACAGAACACTAGCGTTGTTTTCTTATAACGTTCAGAGTTTGATCATAATAGCTAAGATATGTATAAAATAAATAAGAAAATATGTTGTACCTGAGTAATATTATCAAATGACAAATAATTAATTAATAAATAATATCTTTAAAATAAACAAAAATAATTTTCGTTAATACATACATTTAGAATACACTGTTTTATGAATTATCCTGCATAATGATGGTTGACATATACAATAATTTCGTATAAAGCTTATCCAAGTTTCTAACCGTTCCGATTTTAAATTTGATGGCACTTTCACGAGAGAGTGTGAATGTTGGTTTTAATTATACTGTGAACGAAAACAGGCTTAACCGATGTGTATATGCGTACTGTTTGAATATTTGTTTACGAGCTGCAAAGCGCAAATATTTTTGTAATACTTTTAATGACGCGGACAGAGCGGTTGGACGAACAGATTTAATCCGAGCGATTTTATATCCACAAATACCGATCGCATAAAAAATAATCTGGCATGTAAAATGTTTGATGTTTGATATATGTATATGCTTTGATATATTTCTCAAACAAATATTAATAAAAATCTGTTAAATTATAATCGTATACTGAAAAAATGATTTGATGTATCTAAAAATTGAGCTACAGATCTGAAAATAATTTTGCTCGATCATCAAGATAATTACGTGGAAATCTCAAGCATGATGAAAATTGCTGTAAAAAGTTTTAATATTCTCTATAGCAGCCTTCTGCATAATTATTTTGATCGTTCAACAAAATTATTTTTGGATCTATATTTACAAGTTAAATTTTCAATAACTTTTAAGGCAAAAAAAACGATCTTTCCTTGTATATAATGGTGGATACTATCAAGTTATCTCTTCAATAATACATACAAATACTATTTACTTACAGTATAATGCGCCATTGCATTTGTAATATATGTATACATTCCTTTAATACATAAATTATGGAGCAGAGCGTGAAGAGAAATGATTTATAGCTTTACACACAATTTCACTGTTCGTACCCGAAACCTCTTATCATAGCGGCATGGTATCAGCGACGAGATGTGCACGTACTATCAATCAAGCCCTGTATTCAGACAAAAAAAGAGAGGAGAGGGGGCATGTTGCATCTGCGTTCAGCGCAAGTCAATAAACCCCTTTTATCATCAATCAAAGCACGCTTGTACAGAATCTATCGGCTCACTCAGTTATGCAGTTTGTGCGTCCGGCCGCGCGCGCTTCTAGGCTTTATCACAGCTCGATGTCGTTGTTTCGATAAGCACGACTCGCGGCGAGATCGCGTGTTTTTTTTTTGTTTTTTTTTTTCCAGAAGGATGATCGCGAATTTAAGCGGCGCGTCACGCCACGTCGCGCGTACGATCAGGTTTAGCGTCCTTTTTTAATTACAGCTTGTAATTCCGAATAAATGCCAGTCATTGGGTTTACGGTCGTTGGTCGCATCGCCCATGCCATAGGCATTCGTTTACCGAATATTGTTACCAAAATCAGATTGCGCAGCGTGCGCGGCCGATATTGTTTTCGGTAACGCTCTGGCGTGCATAATCATATTCGCGGTGCCGCGGAAAACCGCCGCGCGCGCATGGAATACCCGTCAAATGAAATTGGCCTGACTAGGATACGCTAAAATCGATATTCCGGAAGAAAGGAGACTCGTTTGTCGTTCGTATGCACATATTACATTCGGTGTCGCGATTGTCTTCCGTAGGTATTTTCAAAATAGATACCATCAGAGATTATATAAATATACATACACTGAAAAAGATACTAAATCTTAATAAAAATTTGTTTCAATAATTCTATAAAGAAATATCTAAATGTAAACATATACTTATTTGATAAAAATATTAATTTGATTTAACTATTATTTTTTTTTGTTGAGTAAATATTTCTTTACTATAAGTAAATATTTACTTAGTTTTATTCAAAGAAATATGTATTAAGAGTTAGCAAATATTTTCCCCGTATATTATATTTTATGCATTATTAAAAATATATCACAATAATATTTGGCAATTTAATTATTGAAATTTGACAAAATTTGGAAACATATACTTGCTTTTATACTTACTTTTAATATCTCGGAGAAAACTTTTAAATAGAAAAAAAGAATTATTTTATTTAAAATGATATGTTTAATCCGCATAACAAAATTTTATATATAATAGTTTATATTATTGTAATAACACCTTTATAAAAATATTTAAAAATCTTAATAAGAGAATTAACAAAATTATAAAGAATTTTCTTTATGATTAATAATTGATTTATAAATTCTCTTGGTAGTCTTTTACTTGTTTTAATCCTACGGATTTAAATATTCGTTCATTTATATAATAGGATTATAAAATATAACTCTAATACTGCAGTAATTTTATTTATTAATTAGTGTATTAATTAAACCAATGAACAAACGTATTATTATAATTAACAATATAAATATAATAATCAACGAATTACAGTCATTTCGTATTAACACTATGCCGACTACTAAGTAAGCTCTGCTTAAGACAATGTTATCATTTAATTAAATCACTCATTAAAAAAAATCAATTATAATACAAAATAGATTATTGTAAATATATTTAGACACGGCACGTACGTATTTTAAAAATATCTATCTAAAGAAGGCATTCGTAATGTCGAGCATGCACACAAAGTAAGCGCGATTATACTACGAGCTCATTAACTAACGTAGTACACAGTTTATAAATCACCTCATAAAAGTTAGAAGGGCGCGTTACGGGATCATTTTTGCAGGCCGCGATTCCGCGTGCCAATAGTAATCGACGCGACTTGAATTTTTTATTTCGCGTTTGAATTCTCCCGACAACGTAGCGCCGTTACAGTAGAGAGCAAGAGAGAGAGAGAGAGAGAGAGAGAGAGAGAGAGAGAAAGAGAGATCACTCAGTGAGCGGGGAGCGGGACGACACATTAATTAACTCGACGAGAACGGTGAATTGCAAAATAATTCAGCTTTTTATTATTACGCGGCACGAACTGAGAGTATAAAATCGTTTACCCTTTTCGATGATCACAATTGCAAAATGCCATCGAGTTAACGAAGTTTCGTCTGTTCGAAGCTGCGTGCTGCGTATATATTGCCGAATGAAAAAGTATCGTGAATTAAAATTAAAGCTGCCCAACGTAATTTATACTGGAATGGCCGAAACAGTGCACATAATGTTAATTGAAATTGCGGGAAAAGTTAGTTTTTCCCATCACTTACGTACATTTCGTGAAATGATTTTTTTACACCAACGTTTTCATCCGACAATAGCCAGAATGGTATACTAATAATTAAAATATGCGAGATAAAAAATTTCATATCATTAAACCCTTTCTCGTCCAGTCTTTGCAAACGTTTGAGAAAGCGAACACAAATATGTCCATTTGCAGGAGATACCAAACGTGAGCTTAATATAACGGAACAGTAATAAATTTTATACATATACAAGTCTTCTCAAGTGCAAATTCAAGCAATCGTGTTGCATAAAACTTTCTTATTTTATGTATTGCAAAGTGAAAGCTTTGAGTTTCTTGAGACAACTTTTTGAAGTAAAACGTATCAGAGAGGAGCTCCAAAGTTCTTTGGAGAGAACTAGAGAGAGCTCGAACAATTAAATCGAAATTCTAAAAATGGAATGCTAATTTCACAGGGGATTTCTGCGCTTGGCATCTGTTGGTTCAGAGAATGCAACTTATTACAAAGCATCCAGGTATTTCGTAATTGATTATTATATACCGTAAACATTCGCGCATCTCTCTTAGCGTTCCCTTATCTTTAGCGGCACGATTCAATATTCCAACTCGAGGCAGAATACGCTTCGAGGCGGATTGCCGTGCCCGTTTGCGGCGCATTATAATTCCGTAAGCCGCTGCACCTGAACGAGCATCATTTTCGTTGATATCACTTTCTGCTCCGATG